TTGATCCTGTCTTCTGGGGTATTAGCTTTATATACATGAATATATAAATATAATTATTTATCATGCAGACAGGTTTGGAACAATACTGCCAGTATAGCATTGAGCTGCCTCTAGAAAAGAAGGCACAATTGAGTTGTTTGTGTTGTTATTTTTTTACAGAAACATCATTCCTTTTCTTTTGTGGCTCACTGGGCACATCTTACAATTGACTGCACCTGGTAGTAGATCAGCACATAATCAATATTCAAGAAATACCCTATCTCCACAAAACATCAGTGTGTCAAGAAGTAGGAGTTACCTGCTAGCTGTAATTATCTGACTGACACATTTGTTGTTTTGTGTGCCTTCAAGTCATTTTGGATTTATAGCGACCCTATGGCGAACCTATCATATAGATTTCTTGTCAGGATTTGTTCAGAGAGCATTTGCCTTTGTCCTTCTCGGAGGGTGAGAGGATGTGACTTGCCCAAGGTCACCCAGTGGGTTTCCATGGCCAACCAGGGATTCGAACCCTGATTTCCCAGGGTCCTAGTCCAACACAAACCACTATACCATACTGGCTCTCAATTGTTACATTATTTTATGTATTTAAGAAATATAGCATGCCTCACTGTGCATTGAATCTTCAAATTTTGAACATTTTAGTGTTACACACAAGACATATGATAATATTAACAGAAAAATTCATTTAATGTATAGAATGTGCTAGATGTGGGGTGGGGTGGGGGGTAACCAAATGTATTACATCAATGAAAGATTAAATAAGATTAAATACCAGTCCTCAAAGAAGTAACACTTTCACCTCCAGTTTAACCTTAACAAAGGCTTGTAAACATGGCATGGAGTTTTTACACAAAAATTCAATTTTCTGTTGCCACCACTAATGTGCCACCAAATTTTGGTGCTAAACCTTGGCGACACAGCATCTATTTCAGCAGGGAGCGCCTGAAGGGTACATGAAGAAAAGTGCGGAATTGTAAAGCACATGATGCTCTGATGTATTATAGGTGCAGAGAGATCCATGACACAAATATTTCATACTGACACACTTTGTGAATGTGATGGCACTTAACCCACTAGTCCAGATTAAGAAAATGAGTTCCCAAAGGATTTCACATCCCAGTAATACAGAGCAATAAAGTTCCAGAAAATCCCAACAGCCTAACAAGCCACTTCCTCAACAACATCTAAATCTTCTGTACCAAATGTTGAAACTTTTACTACTTGAGGACACAAATCCTAATTTCTTCATAATAGCACAGAACACTTTCCAGTTCCAATCAGCAGCACTCTATGTTTTCTGCCACTAATTTAAGGAAATCCCAAAGCACACCCATAATTAAAACTCCCAAATATTTGTTACAGGCATGTTTGAATTAAAAGTGTACTATTGTCCTTGATACATAACCAAAATAGAGTGAATATTAAGGGGCATTGGGGCAGCAAATTGTGATCGCTGTAGCAAACAGCTACAAAGAGGCTACTGTCAGAACAGAACACGGAGAAACAGAATGGTTCCCAATTGGCAAAGGAGTTACACAGGGTTGCATCCTTTCACTCTATTTGTTCAACTTGTATGCAGAACATACTATAAGAAAAGCACGCTTGGACACAGAAGAAAGAGAAGTGAAAATAAGAGGATGGAATATCAACAATCTAAGATATGTAGATGACACCATAATACTAGCAGAAAACTTCACAGACCTGGAAAACCTAGTAAGGAAGATCAAAGAAGAAAGTGCAAAGGCAGGCTTAATGCTGAACATAAAGAAAACAAAAATAATGACCACTGAGGACCTTCACAAGTTTAACCTAGACAAAGAAGAAAGAGAAATAGTAAAAGAATTCCCATACCTAGAATCAAACATTGATAGAAATGAGGACTGCAGTCAGGAATTCAGAAGAAGATTAAGAATGGGGAGGGTGGCTATTAAAGAACTAAAAAAGATTCTGAAAAGGATATACAACTTAGTACAAAAGTTAGAATCATACAAGCTATTATATTCTCTATTACCATGTATGGACGTGACAGCTGGACAGTTAAGAAAGATGATAGGAAGAAAATCAACTCCTTTGAGATGTGGTGCTGGAGAAGAGTGTTGAGGATCCCATGGACAGCCAAAAAAGACAAACAAATGAGTCCTAGCCGGACACCTCCCTGGAAGCCAATATGACCAAGCTGAGGCTCTCGTAGTTCAGACACATCATGAGAAGAGAAGACTCAATAGAAAAAACTCACTAGAAAAGGTGGAGGGAAGTAGGAAGAAAGGAAGGCTACATGCCAGATGAATGGACTCTATTAAGGAGGTCATGGGTATGGGTTTGCAGGATTAAAGCAGAGCAGTGGAGGACAGGGGGTCTTGAAGAAGTCTCATCCATAGGGTCGCCATGGGTCGAGATTAACTCGAGGGCAGTTAACAACAAAAAGCAAGCAGCTCACCCAACTTACATGCTGTGACCCAGTAAGAGGGCATCCTCTACATTCCTGTCTGAATCCTTGGAAAGTTACTATCACCAATCAGAATAAATAGTAATGACCAAGATGGATCAATGATATATAGACTCAGCATCATTCCATATCACATATTCATATGCATTTACTCAGCACAGGTTATACCAAACAGCAGCACATTCCATACATACATAAAAATGTAGATGCATGCTCTTGTCTGTGCAACTGGGTATGGAGATATTTGTAGCATTCCTAGACATGCCACTGGGGCTATGCTAACAGCCTAGAGAATATGCACATGTCAAAGGAACAATCTACTACATGATCCAAGTCCATGTGTTTTATAGCTATCCAAACCTGTTAATAACACACTGAAATGATTCCATAACTGGAAAATAAAATTTATGATGAACAATGTTGGAAATTTTGAAATGTCTTATGGGGTAAGAAAAGTCTTCAGGTTCAAAAGCTGGTGGTTCACTTAACGACTGCAAGTATATTTGAACATTTAAACATAATGAAACTGTCAATAATTCACATTTCATGGTAGCCTTCTGATTTGGCTTGATATTAGTTATTATGAGTTATTTTCTTAGCACATCATCCAAACTAATCATGAAAATTATTAGCCAAGCTAGAGAGATAAACATACTGAGAGTGACAGTGTGAACTCCTAGGATGGAATACCATTTTGGAGAAATAGGTAGTTAGGTTGTTATTGGTTTTGTCAACATAAACAGGAAGCAGATGCAAGTCTATATTTTGTTCACAAAGGGCCTCGGCAGACGACTAATTGGGTCGTCTTGGAGGCACGGAAGAGGAGGGGCAGCCGCACGAGCGGCGCCCCTTCCTCTTCCCGAGGTTGCCCTCGGAGCTGCCGGCCCTCTGCATGGCCAGCGCTCCCAGGGCAACCTCCCGCCGCAGCGACCACACGCGCTGCGGCGGAAAAGTCAGGGAAAGTGCGCCCTACGCGTTTAGGGCGCACTTTCCCTGACTTCTAAAAGGAGTGCCAATTTGGCGCTCCTTTTAGGGTCGCTGCAGGAGCACCGCGGTGCGGAGGCTGCGGTCCCGCAGCGCTCCGGACCAGGGCGTCCCTGACGCCCTAGTCTGCTTCCCCCCTAAGTTTCTCATAGCAGGCAACAGCCATTTTTTAAATATTTGGCAATCACATTTTGAAATTTAAAATAAACATTTAAAGTATTGACCCCATCATTAAGCACAGTTTGAATGTTCAGCTAAACATCATATAACTAAGATTAATTTGAGTTCCAAATTGTACTCAAGTTCCATTGTAGTCATTAGGACAGGATTGTTTAAGTCTTAAAAAGTATCCAAATATATGTCTAAAGCCCAAAAAACTCCTTCACGTGTACAAATGCTTCCATGTCCAGGTGAGATCTCTGCCTTCTAGAGACAACAATTTACAATGCACTGGATACTAATCTGGAGTTTTATTAACACTTGGGAGCAATGGCAAAGGGGCAGAAAAGGTGGCAAAGCTCCAGTGTGTGTATAGAGCTTATGGCTCTGTATTCAAACCATTGTTGAAAAACTCCCACCATGATTCATAATAGTTATCATGAAATGTACATTAGAGTTAAAGAAAAAAATGGCTGGGGTGAGTATCTTAAGCTTTTCCTTTAAAATCTATTTTAAAAAGCAAGCATTCAGTCTTTTTTGCTATACAACATTCTAAACTGAAATAAAAGTATAACCTTGAGGGTAAGAAAGAGGAGAGGGAGAAAGAATTAACCATTACTGATTCCATGTCAACAGCCCTGTCTTATAGTACAGAACTGATGCTTTTTTGCTATGGGAGTTGACTATTAATTTCCATATAATGTAAATATATAAAAGTCAGGTTGTATATCTTCAGCTACAAATTCTAACAGACATTACTGCTCTTCTTAGCTGTATTAGTAGCCCCTACTTGGATCCTAAAAGGATAAAATGCCCATTACTGAAGCACAGTCCAGATAAAGCTGGCTAGAAAGAGTCACATAGCCAACTCTCCAAAACTAGTCTTCTTCCTCTTCTTCTTTATATTGTTATTGTTATACCACCAAAGTACTACTAAATATACTGCGACTAAAGATGGATCAAAACTGCAGCCTCCCATGCAGTGTTTATTCCACTACTGAGACTTTAGAATGTGCTCCTAAATTAAATAAAGAGGAAATCTCTGTTTGAAAAAGGAAAAAAATATTCCTAAATATATTAACTACCATTTTAGTACAACCAAAGTCCAAGATTTAGATAATCTGACATCATAAAGGACAACAAACTACTATTTCAGAACATGATCCTAAGTATATTAACTCAAATTAAGCACCCTGATTTCAATCAGACTCACACTTGTAGTAAGGAAGCTTTTGTCAGAATCTACAATTCTATGTGACTTTTCAGTGAATATAAGTCCCATTCAACTCAGCAAGTTGTCTTTACTTAAGGACTTAACTCCACAAGTCCAATGCTCCTGCTCCACTTTCTTTCCTCATCTACATTGGACACAATCCAGTTACAAGTAACCCCATCAAAAGCTTGAAATGAAGCCAGATTCTGAAGCAGAGGGAGTCTAGACAAGTAAGTCTGGAATTACTTGTTTGACCAAATCACTACCATGTCTAGCAGATAACATGCTGCTAACTTTCACAAGAGTTCTTGGTGGGCATATACGTACAGGATTGTGTTGTAAGGCTACAAATCTAAATACATTTGGCAAGGGATGAGTTCCTTTGAACATAAAGAATTTTATTTAGGAATAAATAAGTACAGAATTCCACAACATAAGAACTATGATTTAACAACTCATAGCACAATCCCCCAATTCCAGATTTATATTCTTGCTGAGTTCACAAATGTGAGACACTTCATAGCAGTGCCAGTCAAAATGGTGATCCCTGAACCAGCATCAGTATCCAAGCCACTGGCTGCCAATTCCTAGAAAGTTTGAAAGAAAGCAACATACAGTTGCAGTCAATAGGCACAAATATATTGTCCCGAACACACTGGGAAAAAGTAACTGCTGGTCTTCCACACTAAACAGTTTAGGGGGCACTGCTTTACAGGATGCTGTATAATTTTCAACATTGTAAGGAATAATCATAGA